GGGGGGGGGTGTGGGGGGGGGGGGTCCTCATGGATTATGGTCTGGACCCAGGTGTCCCACTTCTGTGTGATCCACCACACAACTGTTGTCAGGGCAACAGGGTCAGAGAGAGAGAGAGAGGGGGGGGGGGGGGGACCCCTGAGCCCCCAGTTTTTTCCAGTCACGGTTCATTAACCAACCATTGACTAGCAGCTAGTTAGTCCTCTGTTTCCAGGCTCCGCAGCCACGAGGTCAACACTCTGGACATTTATGAGCTGGACATTTATGAATCACTGGGTCGAAAAGACAAACTCCAGGGACGAAGGTGACGAGGTCGCTGACCTCAGGTGTGGGTCAGGGTCTAATAAACAACACCCTCTCCTCATGGTCAGTGACATCACTATGATTATTTCATGTGTCAAACACAAGGCCCGCGGGTCAAATGTGGCCCACCCAGTCATGATGTGTGGCCGATGATAAAGTGATCATTTTTGATCATTATTTAAATTCTTGTTACACGACGTTCCTGCTCCTGCAGTACCACTGGTCTGCCTGTAGTCCAGACCTGTGGTCTAACTCTGTACCCTGGTCCATCACTGGACCAATCACACTCCACTTTCTAAGGTCAGGTCAGGGTCAAGAACCAACAGTGAGACAGGGAGGAGGTCCACGTTACCGTTCAACCATCTGGAGTTGTACTGGTCCGTCCTCATGGCCGTCTGCTGCCCCAGGGTCCGGAAGATGGCCGAGTCCGTGCCCATGAAGTCGATGTACACGCCTGCGTACAGCTCGCCGTCTGTGGATCAGCGAGGGAGAGGGAGAGGTCACGAGGAGGAAGCGAACACGCCGCTCACACACTGGGACTGAAACTCTACTTCGTTACCGAACCAATCGGACCGCGACACGTATCGTAAAGATCGCGATCATGAACGTGACGATGGAGGAGAGGCAGAAAGCCGTCGTCCCTCATCAGCTGGTGTCAGAGGTCACGTCTGAACGGTGACCTCATCACTGTAATCATACTTATGTTCATCAGGCCAATCAGGTTAATCTGCTGGGAGAGTTGA